AAAATGGCTCTACTTTGCAATGAAGCGTAGGCGTCCGTTTTCAAAATGGCGATGGGCTTCAGGCCTGCTTTTAGGGCTGATCATCTTTGGATGGATTTTTTCCCAAAAGTCGTTAGATACCCCCCCCCCCCCCCGACCAAAAGAAACTGAACGCAAAACGAAAGATGATGAGAAAGGCTTCAGTTTGATGTGTGTCTTAAACACATTGGAGATTTTGTGATTATTTTTAATTATTGTAGGAAGTGCGTGTAATATCACTGAGGTCTATGGCAGTCTATTTACTGGTCTGGAACCTTATACACGAGGTGAAGACAACATCGCTGCGTCCGTGGGATACAGTGTTAAATCATAAGAGGGCGCTGTAACCATTTGACGTTGAGGTAAACATTATGTGATGTGATTCACGGGAGAAACTTCAGTGTTAGCTGTTTCAACATCAAAAGTGTAGTAATGATAACATTAAACAGAGAAATTGACTGCAGCGGGATTTGTGCCGAGCGACTTCCAAAGCACCGAATCGAATTTGGACTCTATAAGAAATTCAGACTCCTTGATTGTATTGCGCATGCCGCAATTGAATAAAATAGTGTCAAGCGGAAAGCTAAAAAGCGGAATATGAGAAATGGGAATTTGTTAAAAATTTGCAGCCAGCACAACGACAGTGAGACACCCAAGTACAAAGAGAGATTGAGACATTCAGAATTGCAGTGGGGAACGCATAATTTGAAAGGATCAGCAGATAGTCTTGCGGTAGGACGGCCTTGGTTTGAGTTGAGCTGCACAAAATTATCGAGAGTTGTATCATAATGACCAGCTTGCATTTAAAAAAAGTACACAAGGCACTGGATTTCCCTTCTAAGCGATTTTCTCTTCTGAGAGACAATGAACAAGGGGTGAAATTTGACGGAAATAATGGTGACGCGCAGGTGCAGCTGCCTGGTGAGTGCGTTGTGAATTTAGAACTTTACAAATACAACGGTACATGGTTTGAGGGGAAGAAGTGGGAATTAAACATTGGTCCCAAGGTGTAGGTTCGCGTCGGGAGGTATAGTCAAGCTGATCGGAGTCGACTTTAGAAACTGTGACGTTTTTTCGATCAGAAATGGAGGCTACATTGTTAATTGGTCAATTTGGATGCCAAGTTTGGTTGCAATACAACGGGTTACGGAATACCCGATAGAAGATGTTGTGATAAAACGCATGACTGGTACAAGTCTACTAATATATGGGGACACTATCTTTGATGGATACGTATGCAACGTACACAATTGTATGTACTGTGTTCCGGTTTTTCCTCCTGGCAATTCGGTCTGATAATGTCAATAAATAACACAGTGTTTAAGCTTATATTTTATCTCTCCAGCCTTCAAGGGTGGATCCATTTTTGTTGGAGGGGGAGGCAAAAACAAATTTGGTCTCCCAAAAAGTGGGTTCCAAACTACGGCGTTGGGGGCCAGCTTAAGGGCCCAAGAAAAAAAATTGGATCAGATGCTCTGTGGTGCAATCTGATCGCGGGAATTTCTGACCACTTTAACCAAATCTTTTTGAGGAAAAGATGGTGGTTTATACAGTGCCTGCTTTTATTGCGACGTCACTTAAAACAAAAAAATTGGTTCGTTTTAGGGGGGGCGGGCATGGCCCCCGTTGCCACCCTTCCCCCCTCCAATCCGCCCTTATTTGCCAGCCTTGTCAGTAATCATACAGAAGACACCCACTGAATGGCCAGAATCTGGATAGCAAGACTTGTTTTGCATAAATACTCGCCGAATCTTTGCGAATATCAAATGCATTCCATAGACTATTTTCAGGCGTCGATTACTCAAATGAACGTTTTGGGGGACATTCAACATATTTTGATTCAGTAGGTCACATATTCATTATTGCTGGAATGCTAATTTCAACAGTGCATAATTGTGATAATACGTGGCACACCTGCATGGTTCGTTATGGACGGCTCAGTGTTTCATTACTCCAAGTCGATTATCGCACACTATTTAGTCGGGTAAGATAAATCTCCTACGAAGAAATGCCCCGTTGCTGCCGTGGTATTGCGTGCTCCAAACACTACGGGGACTTTTCACTTAGTCACGAAATATGCGTGACTATTATCATAATATATTATTTGCACACGCGTGCTCCAACTTGAACTACAACCCCGTCTATAAATTATACACATTGCTGCCATTATGCATGACGGGCTGAAGTTCAAAGTTCCATGCACTATGCATGCCAGACAGTGTCAGTCTACAACATAGGAGCGTGCACGTGCTGCACCAGCAGGTAATAGGCCTAAAGTCGAGTCGAAATCATGACCTTGGCATCATGTCAACTCCCACTCTCCCTCTACGGATACACCCATACCGTCCGTACTCCAGTTGGATTAAGTTTTAAATGTTCAACTTGTATGATATAACAATTGGTTCCTTAGACCATACAACCGGATATGGTGGGGAAAAAAATAGTATATTTTCGGAGTACAGTTGTTTGCGCGTCCGCTGAATGGTCTGTAGAATCTATAGACGTCAAGATGCAGTCTTCTTTTCAAAAATTAACCGCCGAATCTGCGCAAGACTGATTTCAGGTATTGATTACCAAAAACAAGGTTTTGATAACATTTGTCAAATTGTATCAGTAGGTCACATATTTGTAAATATATTTCCTGAAATGTTAATTCCAATAGCACATAATTATCATAATTTATGTTTAACGTTAAAGTACTGGAACTCACCATGCTACCCGTCACAACCTTCAACACAGCTGATGTTCGATATGGGCGGCTCAGTGTTTCACTTATTATTCCAAGTCAATTATCCCACACTATTTCGGGTAAGGTGAAAGACCAACGAAGAAATCGAGGTGTTGTTTTGGGCCTTTAATGCCACGGTATTGCATGCTCATCACACTGCAGGAACATTCCAGTTTAGTCCCGTGGTATGATTATTATCATTACAAATAATATGCACCCTAATAAGTTAACCTACAACCTCAGGCCTCCGGTATCAATTCTATGCTAGACATTGCTGCCACAATGCATTGACGGGCTGAACAAAGTTCACTGTGTATTGTGCACGATGCCAGACAGAGTCTGTCAACAACACAATGAGGAGTGTGCGCTGCACCTCCAGAGAATAAAAAACAGTGGCGGATCCGTGAATTTATGCTGGGGGGATTAATCAGCAAAACAATCTGAAACGTAGACGGTTTTTTTTCTCCGGACACTTGGCTTCCGAAAATAAATAAGTGGGCAGGGGGATGGGGGGGGGGGGGGTTATGTACCATACTTTTAATGGCGGCGCTGAAAAGTTCGTCGATAGATTGTGTTGTTTTTGAGAAAGGTTCGATACGAATCTCGCTTCCGCGATTGTCGCGGTGTTTTATGCCCATGAAAAGACTGACCACTTTTTGTGTGTATATAACTGTACACACATTATGTGCGTTTCGATGGTTATGCGTGCTGTACTAGTCTGTGAATTGTGTGTATTTGGATTTAGCTGGTACTTGGTAGCTACATGCATCACGTTCGTGTGTATGAGTAGCGGCCGGGGTGCGATCGGGCAGACAAAATTCCCCTGCAAATAGTTTTTTCTCTTTATTCAGCCATGTTTTCTTTCCTATCAGACGAATTTAATTGCAAATGATGTAAAACAATGTCCTTTAATACAAACTAATACGTCTAGTGGTTTGTTCGAACCTCAAAACCAACAAATTCTGAAGAATACATTTTTAAAACCAGAATTTTATTGTCCCTATTCAGGGGCCACCTTTGTTGAATGCCGGTCTTAACCACTTTTGGCTGGAGATTTATCATCCGTTTAAGACCGGCCACGTGACGGGCTCTCGGCCAATAGGAATGCGTAAACTGTCTTAGGTATTTACGAATGAATAATAGTCTCAAGCAGGGTCTCGGTAAAGGTCGATCAATGAATATTTGGGAAACGAAATTTAGACGGAAACATTGTTTTGCGTCGAGCAAAATGAAGACGTGTTTATTTATTTTTTTTTTTTCAAATTGTGATATGTTTTAAGCAATACATTTCAACCGTTCAATAGTGTGTTATTATCCTGCTTCGGCTTGAATGTCTTGTCGTGTCTTGCGTCGCCAAAAATATACAGTTTTTGCAAGTGGTGTCTATATCCTTAAAGTGAATGCAGAACTGCACTAATACAAGGGAGCTAATAAAACTCGTAAAACTTTTGTTTTGTTTTCATATCAACAGGCATGAATATTTACTGATATCACTGTATTTCATTTTCAGAAACACAATGTCTACATGGATGTAATATAAACAATGCAAAGAAAATGGATACCGCATTGACGCACGGTTAAAATTATCACCAAAAATTATGATATGAAAAATAATATATTTTCATTCGCTTGTTCACATTTAAAGTAAAACTGTGCGCAAAGGGAAATTTTACTCGCAACACAGGCTACTTTGTTTATGTTTAGAAATCCACACTCTCAGTAATTCATTTTAAGGGCCACATCTTAACATTTTCCACTTTCTTTTGTGCGACATGGCGGTTTTACTCCTCTTAACGATATTCTGACTTGTCTGCATGTGTCCAAAGGTAAGCCCGTTATTTTTCAATTAAACAATATCAAAGTAAAGGCAGGGAAACATAATCACTCGTGAGTTGTGAATTGAAGGACATTTAGATAATTTCGGCTGGGAATCCATACACCCTATCAGTTTGACCAGGGATCATGCCCAAAGTCACAATGTTAGCGACATTAGCAATGTTGCAAACGGGGATCACTCAGAGAGGATACGGTTTTTGTATTACATATTTTTAAAGAAACCACATAGGAAAACTGACTAACTGATCATTCGTTTTAAAGGTTGAACAAAGAAATTGACAGGAGCAGGTTTTGAACATGCGACATCCTGATTGCCGTTCCTGTGCTCTACCAACTGAGCTATCCAGCCCTGTACACAACTAAATGAGGAGCCCGGAACGGTAATTGGAGGTCGCAGGTTCAAACTCCTCTCCAGTCAGTTTCTTTGTTAAACCTCAAAATTGGGATAATGACATCGTAGACTTTTTACACCGTTTATATTAGAAATTCCAGACAAATACTTGATCTAATTTTGAAACCCAACACGTAAAATATCTCATTTCAAAAATGCACTACATTATTTTTTTTTAGAGAACTATTGTTTGATAAAAGTGTAATGTAAACAATTGAATATAGCTTTCAAGCCTATTACTTATTATGACATCTAGAAAATGACTCGTACCAAACTGTGACTGATTCGAAATCGGAGAACTTTGATTATTCCGATAAAAAGTTAACATTACGAACGTTTAAAGGAAAAGCAAGAAACGATTTTAAGAAATAAATGTGGCAGTTAAACTGTATTTTCAAGACGTAACGACAAACCAACCGCACGTAAAGGCGTAGTCAAACAATAATAAAGCAACAAAACGAAAGTAAAATTATCCAAATGAAAAATACAAATCAAAAATCCCTTAATTAATCTTCACATAAAAATTAACTTCTTATTATTGCATCTTAAAAAGAAGTCGTTTACAAAGATATTTCATTACGTAATACTCAATGACAATATACTTGATTACCGTGGGGAAATAATAAATTTCGAACATCTTATTTCAGTTTTCAAAAAAACATTCCAGTGTACTCATCAACATTTGTATAACAAAAAAGAAAAACACAAGAAACGATTCACTTGAAGCAGTAAACAATTAACTCATTATTTGCCAAATTCCTCTTACGCAGCTGTATGCCGTTTGGCATTCACAAAATCGGAACACCGGGGAAATTATGGATAAACCATCTTTTGTTTTGCTTATTTACATACCATTATTGTCCATTATTCAAGCATTACTCTATCGTCTAAGGCTCTATTTTCTAAGATCCTCTGTACACATCTTTACTGCTAAATACATGCTACATCCACATAGGTAGTTTAGTGTTTTTTTTCAGCAATCAACGAACGTTTAGTTTCGTAATCATAGAGTGCCGAGTGTTGTAATTGATACAATGAGAATACTCTAAAACTAGTCTTTAACTTTTAAACATAATAATAAACGTTTTTGAAACATTGTATAAACACTGTAATGCGTTTAAGAACTTCAACTTTGAGTCGGCAGCTGCTTGTAACTGAAATTATATTTTGAAATTGAAATTTGATTTAGTTTGTAAACATTGACAAATTTTCGTTTGCTCCAATAATGGACAATCTCCACATATATAAGCAATTAAAAGATAACTTAAAATACACATTGAATATTTTATTATTTAACTGTAGATGTAATCAAATATAATTAAGGCTGAACATTTCAATCTAAGGATTAACGAATCCAAGAAAATATTAGTTGTACGAGTCAGAAGAGCATTTTATTTTTAATTCAAGCACTGCAAGTCCATTAAAAAAATCAAAAGGTCCAGTATTAAAGCATCCGAAAGAGCGAAATGTTTAAGACTTCAAAATATTTACATGGACTTGGACGAGGCTATAATGCTGTCAATTTGTAATGTACCTTAAGATGTTTACTGTTTATTGTTTATTGATAAGTCCTCAGAATGTTTGACCTTGCAAACCTTCCAGCTAAGTTAATTTTTAAAAAAATAGTGCTGATAGGTTACATTAATGGTTTTGTAATTTATCTTACGATTTCTATGTTTCTATTTATTTTTACTCCAATTATTCTTTAGTTCTAAAATTTGTGTACATTGGAAACCTTCAAGCTACATTAAGAAAAGGCATCCAAATGGCAAATCAGTGCTCATAGATTACATAATTGGTAAATCAACTTCTTAACGTATTCTTATGAAATATCTTTGAAATGATCAGTTTTTTATGTGATCTTTTTTAGTGTGAAATTATAACATTAATTCGTGCCATTATGTCCTTACACTTCAACGAAATCTCATGTGGATGTATATATGCTCCCAGAATACGGATATTTTGATCCTGTGAATATTCCCGTTCGTGACACCGATTATTAAGGCAAGAGTGCCATGCAATCTTCAAAATCTTCATCACCGTCCAAGAATTCACTTGAACATTCATGTAGGCCTACTAAAGTGATTGTTATCTTCCGGCATCGGCATTGCAGCCGTGGCTCCGGCACACACCGCAGCTCCCACGCCGATACCCGCTGCACCACCTAGCGTGTCTGCTACTGGCTCTGCACTCTCGCTTGTTGTCTTATTCCCCGGGTCAGTGACGGTTGTCCCAAACACATTTGAGATGACGGATCCCTTCTTCTTCTTAGGGAGTTTCAAGGACGTCAGTCTTGCCTTCAGTGTCTCCATGTTGCCGATTTCGAGGTCTTCAAGATGTGGCATGATGTTCGGATTTGTCATATTTTGTTCGAACTCCCCCTGAATGTTGTCATGTATTTTTTCACTTTTTTCAGTGGCTGAGACATGAAAACATTCAACAAAGTGGAAGTATTTTACGTTGTTGCTGAGGAATCCTACAAACCTCTCAGCAGGTGATCCATGCAGCAGATACAGTGTCTTTAATCTTCCCCACGGGAACTTCCCACCCGTCATATTCTTCTGAACTTCATCAAACCCTTTTACTTCGTACAGAGACAGTCTGAGATCTGACAGTTTTCTGCACTGACGTAGCAGTAAATTTGTTACCGCCACCAAGGCTCTGTCATCGAACTGCTTATTTAGACGAAGATCCAGCTTTTTCAAGTTTGGGAGTTGGTGAGCTCTTTTCGCCAAGTCGCAAATAGCGTCTGAACTCAGAATCGTCCCAACCAGAACCAGACTCTCCAGCATTTCCAGACGAGGAAGGTAGCGAGCCAGGTCTCTTGCTGCACCCGATGAGTAGCACTCCCCTGCCTGTGACTCTAAGAGCTCCTGTAGACAAAAAGACTGCACAGTATGAAGGACACTGATGTCTGACTCGTCACGAGGAAACTGAGGCATGTCTTGGTTGCTGGATTCTACTCTCTCACGCAGCTTTTCTGGTACAGCCAGATCCTGGTTACTATCAATTACATCAAAGGATGCAATATCTTCATCTACTGACGAGTCTATAAGTTCATCTTCATTACCAGTTGGTGAGGCGCCCACTTTGGGTTGAAGCTCACTTTTGCTGGATTTAACCGCATCCTGTGCTTTAATGTCATCTTCAGATTCTGGTAAATGATTTACAAATGGATGTTCCGGGAGTTTTTTTGTTTCCTCCTGTGATGCTCTGACTGTTCCCTTGTGGATTACAGTTGTAGTTGTCTGACTGTCTTCGGTTTTTGTTTGCACTGCAGTCTTCTTTTCCGGTCTCTTTTTTCCGGAAATAAAATATTCAATGTATAATTGAAGCTCTGACCAGTCATATCGACCAATTCGAAGCAATTCAACCGACTTCACATTCAGCTTGCTCTTATCGTCTGGCTGAGCATGTTCGAGTAGGTACAACAACAGACGCAGTTTGTAACCCGATATTCCAATTAAGCGGACCCTCTCGTCAGGAAAGATCGATTGCAGCTTCTTATTCAAGGCGCCCTCACACTGCCCCTCGAAATTCAGCTGGAGACACAACTCTATAAACTTCTGTAAATGTAGCACGTCGTGGGGGTGTCTGACCTGACTGTGTCCCCTGTTGATGATCTTCGCACAACAATTAAAAAGAACTTCCCAATTAAACTGATTAGCTTGGATGGCAAACTGGAATACATGGGAAAACCTCTGCAGAATATTCCTGTGGTCAATCTCTGTTATGTCTTCGACCCATTTTTTTACTTTTCCTGTGATCTGAGGTAAGAATACGCCGACGCAAAGCTGCTCAAGAATCTCCAAGACAAAACAAACCCTTTCGTCCTTAGGACTTGTCAGGGGAGTGAGTTCTGTATCCTTACGCATGGTTTCTTGTTCAGTCCCATTGTGTCGCTTTTGCTTCCGCTTACAACAAAGACACCCTGTCCGTATCTCCACTTCTGATACCTCTGAAGAAACTGCCTCGGTAATTTGTTCCGTAGATTCAACCTTGGACTCAACCTGCAATGGACGAATAAGTCCAACTTCTTTTGCAACTTCTAAGGCGTGCTCTCCCTTCTCTGACGAATTCAAGAAGTCCTCTTTCAAGTAGTCTGCATAAGCCCCTCTACCAAGCTCTGCCAGTACGTCCAGTTGGTTTTCCGTGAGCAGACTGTGTTGGTTTCCCTCAGTGACAGCTACTTCCAGACCTTTCTTCATGTCGAACATGCACTTGACCAATCTGAAAAACAAATTTGCCATGGTAACGTCGGGTTTGAAAGCATCTCCTTTTGTCCAGATTGACATCTGACAGAGAGCCGCCAAGACAGCTGGGAGACATGAAATATCCGGTTGAAGAATGTCCTCTCCTAGATATCGATGAAGATTTCGTTTCTTATTTTTTGTAGGTGTTTTGGGTGGCTCCGTCTCCTCAGGAAATGTGTCTGTGGCAGTGCTTTCCTGTGTTTCCCGAGGAGCTGACACCGTTGGAGCCTCTTTTGCCTTGGGCAGATTCTGCTTAGTGTTTGTGTCAGCAGTCGAACCTGATTGTGGCTTAGCTTTACTCTTGACTGCCTTGTGCTCAGGGGTAGCTTGCTTTCTTTCTTCAGCAGTATCCAAAACTACATTGATGTATTCAATAGCATTACTGAGCGTAAAGCCGGTGATGGTGACATGGCGCATGTTATAGTTTCGTGACGCAGCTTTTGCCAGGTCTTCGTTTCTAGTGGTCAAAACTAACTGACAGCCAACAAATTCATTGTCTGTCATTACTTTCATGACAGCGTCAATATCGTGATGGTCATTACAGTCATCTACCAAAATTGTCAGATTGCTTTTGTTTCGTGCGCAGTATGCATTAATGGATTTGGCCGAAATCTTTGCGTCTTTTGGAATCATGCATTCAACGACTGCTTCACCGATGGTTTCAGATTTAATAAGCAACCAAGCTGGGACAAGAACAACTATCTGATCAAAACCCCATAGTGCACGTTCCCTTCCTTGGGCCCAGTCGTATATCAGTCTGTGCAAAAACGTAGTCTTACCACAACCCCATCTGCCTTGTATTATAGCATGCTTACTGGCCAATTCTGGAATACCATCATCAAAGATACCAGACTCTGAGTCTAATTTATACTTTACAGTACTTCCTCCGTGAGAAACATTGGCGAACATCTCTAAGGGTCTGTAGACTGTATCTATTGGTATAAAGGAAGCAGCGTCCCCGTCGACCCACGGTGTGATTGGATTTCTGCCCATTTTGCTGATCACAAACGCTTTGATCTTCTGGGCAAGCGTCTTCAAATCCAACTCCCGGACGGATTCTGCCACACAATTAGAGGAATAATTTGAACATTTCAATTGAGTGCATATTGGCCTGCAGGTTACATTGAACTCTTCAATACAATCCTACAGTCACTGTGTTATTTTCAAACCTGTTCTCGCATTGCATCATAAAGGTATCATTTATAAACGTTTGAGGGTGGACAGGCTATATGTACTTCACTTTGTCATCAAAACTTGAAGCGATTAATGCTTTCCCAATGCCCATGTTCTCTGGTCTGTGTATATCTAATCGGAATAGCAATATCGGAAAGTACAATCCAGTTTGTACTGACTTCAACAAGGCGTATGGCACCAAGTACCGTGCCCACCCTTCTTGATAAGCTAACAATGAAACAAAAGAAACAAGTTTGTAGAAATATCTTGACGGGGATGGAAAATACAACAGGCATTCACTAACATTAGCTGACATTTCTTTTGACAATGCCTTTTTTATCTGTTCCCCCTTTTCTGTTCCTACCTTGCTTATCCAGCGGTTTGTAACCACCTCTCTCCTTGTCTACTCTAGAATGCGAAGATCGTTGACGCCGCTTACGTCTCAGGATACAGGGAACAAGCCCCACAAGAGCGAGGACGATGGAAGACACGGAAACGACGATGGCGACGATGGCGACGATTCTTACTGTTTCAGGAATACCGTTTGAATCTAATGCATACAGAGCAACAAATGACAATCAAATAATTATTGTGTTTAATTGGCAACGGAAGACAATTAGAATTTCATCTATATCAAACGATGGTTTGAATCTAAAAGCTTATGCCTTCCCACAGACCTCTTCACATATTAATTCTCTTAACAGGTTGGCGACCCACACATACAGGATTTAATGGCGTCATTCTGATTATCTTTCGCCATGGCTTATCATTGGATTTTCCATCAAAGTACTTTTTAGCAGATCATTTCTATCGATCTCCTCACTAAATTCAGTCACTTTTTTTCTTTCAAAAGATGAAAGTGAACATACTACACTGTATTGATAGAAACTTCCACGTATGATATGACAGGCAACCGAGAAACTTGGTACCAAAATGTGACGTCATGAAAGGCATAAACTTACCCTCTATCAACACATCCACGTATGATCTGATCAGATCGCCATTCGCAGGGAAAACATGACACCAGTATGTGACGTCACCATCTTGGGAGCAGTTATTAAGGAGCAGAGCACCCTCCATTGATATGCCAAGGCAGTCCTTTCCCAGATCAGTCATCTTTATGGGACCATCTGGTAGATTCAGTGTGCCGATCACAGTGGTAGACTCTGCATCAGGGTCGCCAAAGGACCAGAACAAAGTTGCTCTGGATGTCAATGAGATGTCGGAGAGAGCCGGACATTGAGGAGAAAATCTAGTTTCAGGTTTAAAGCTAACACTGTCACCTTCTGTTGCGCTACCGCCGTCCAATGGAAAGCGATCCCCTATAATAACAAAGCACATTGAGAGAAAAATGTACAGGTTAAAATAATTGTGCCCACAAATCGAAACATTCGCTCATAGGAGTGAAATAAAAATTTCCAAACTAGAAAGGTAAGTCTCAATCCTTGCACGAACCTATCACTCGGACTTCAACATCTATCTGGCTTTCATCTCCCACAGCACATTGATACACTCCAGCATGGACATCATCAACAAACTGAATCAATAAACCAAAGTTGCTGCCGAGATCGAATTCAGGACTAGAATCGACGACACCAGTCGACAGGTTGTAACTGAGGACTTGTCGATCTGGGTTGTTGAGCTTACTCCACTCCACCTCACAAGCTGTGTCGCCAGGTGTCCAGCTCAGGCAAGGGAGCATCTGCTGTGTTTCGCTTCGGAGGAAGAAAGATCTTTCTGAGGCCTTCAGTGCATCACTAGTTGATTCCACATCATCTACTTCAAAGAAAGAGTAAATTGTAGAACAACTGTTTAAAAACGGACAAATGGAGAATTTAAAATCTGTAGTGAAAATCGTTTCAAAAATGTGTCTGTTTTGCTTATTATTTTTTTTCTGTATTTTTTGTGGCAATACCTTCGTCTTTCCGTTAATTAACATATCTTTGGCATTACCTGATATCTGGACATCGGTGAAGCAATTTCTGAGAGTAGCATCTGAGTTAAACACGTGACACCAGAATCTCTGTGTATCTTGTACGTCATTCAGGGAGTTGACTGTAAGTGAAGCGTCACTACCAAAGTTGAAATCGGCGCCATGTTGGATCTGCAGGGTAGCACCATCGGAGAAACGAGCAGCTATGATCTGTGTATCTGTAGTGCCGCCCTCTCCCGTTGACCAATACACTACGTCTGGTGTCTGTGACGCGCACTCACACGGTAGCGTCTGTCTGCGTCCTCGCTGGAAACTAGCAGTGGAAGATGCCTGACTACTGCCTCCTGGAAAAGTATCGCCTGTATTGTTGAAGCGGGAAATTGGTATCATTTGACTGAGTCCACGATGAAAACTGGAAGAAATTAATCATCCACATGGAGCATTCACGGTATCAAGTCGTTAAAAAAAGGAAATAGTTATTACAATATCCAAAAAACTGTGTTGTGGGATTATATTTACTTCGTTTGTTCTACATAGTCATGCCATCTTTAACTCAAACCACTTTGAATCGCTAACTTTTCATATGGGATACATGTCTTTACATGCCTATTTTGTCAATAATACCATATCATAATCCTTACTTAGAACTTGGATGTCGACTTCCCCAGTTCTGTCTGTAGTGTCACGTGGTATGACTTGACACAGGTACCCTCCTCCATCACTCTCCTGGACGTCTTTAATAACGAGGCTGAAACCAGACGTCCCGAAAGCGTACCTGTCGCTCTCTGGGTAGTCTGTGTTATCTATGTAGCCGATCAGTCGGGATGTTGTCGTGGGACTATCCTGCTTGAACCAAACTACCCGATCAATGGGCTCGCCAGAACGAAATGGTGGGCAAGGAATTTGGTGCCATAAACCTTGTTGAACGTAGTTCACTGCACCAAAAGGACTGCGAATATTGTTCACTGAAAAATAAAGCAAACGTCGTTTTTTTTACACAGCGCCACCTCATAAAGTACCGTTAAAATATATTGATTCAGAGCATGCTAGAGGGAATAAATTTTAAAATCATTTCTAAAATATATCTCCATAAAACGTTTGACTTGTATAATTACGTAGCCTAGAAAATATTAGCATCCTCAATGTTTTGATTAGCAACAATGTTTGAATGAAATGAAGGTATAGTTCTGTGTAATAAAATCTTAATACTTTTCCTGTAGCAAATAAAAATTCAAACCCGAAATTGCTGGGCATATGTTGTCTGCTGCCACACTAAGTCCCAAGGATGTTAACAGAATACATGTAAGTGCCGTGTAAGTTGCCGCCATGATGTCAACTTTGCCTCCAGGGGTCATGCGGCTCACTGTGTAGAGAAACCAAGATAAATACATATCTTTATGGAAGTCCAAACCAAAGTTATCTGCCTTATGGTAATTCTGAGTGAGGGATGAACTTGTGAAAGGATATAGGCTGATCCATCCTGTCCAAGTGTGGTCGCGAAGTTACATGAAGGGAGATGAAGGGAGAAATGGTCAAATTATGATTAATTTTCGGGGAAGCCCTGCAGAACGTGTTCCCCGCTCGGGTTTTTGAGATTCATCGAAGCTGCTGGTCCACCCCCCCTCCCCCCCCCCCCCCCCCCCCGCAAATGTTCCGAAGGAATTGTCGCCCTTGGTATAGTGGTTGGCGTGGCTTATACCCTCCGACTGTAAATCAATATTTACACGGTGTAGAAAGTCCCCGAGACCTTCCTAAATAAACTTGATTCATTGATTTGGGTCAACGCCTAGGGTCAATATATTGGGCTTATTTAGACAAAAACATTGGGCCAATCTTGAAAGCCAGTATTGGATAGAACTTTGGCCCATTATAATATATTATTGGCTCCACGTAGGTTTTGCTTAATGGCGAAACTTTGGTCCTAAATGAACAAATTGGCAAAACATTTTGCAAAACATCGGTGACAGACCTATTATACCAATGTTCAACCAATATTACTCCATATTAGTCCGCGTACGTTTTACATATTGGAACAACTTTGCAATATTGGCCCTCGCCGATGTTCAGCCAATGTTTTGCCGAAACTGCCATTTTTGCCAATATGGGACCAATAACAACAATGCTTTCAAAATGGCTGCCTTACTACACAGAATCAACTCACCGTATGCATGCATGATCATCGCAAAACCTCGACCATCGAAACCTCAAAACAAGGGTAGCGATTGATACTAACCCAGAACCGTTGGCTGCATGACCAGTGCTTAAAAGAATGCTCAAAGAAACAAAAAGTCTAGGGCAAACCCATAATCATGTGATTTTGTTTGGCGGGCTTTGCCTTTGCATACTGGCTGGGAATTCCAGACTGACGTGTCATTACATTATTTATAGACTACAATCGCGCCAAGTATTGACTCTAGCGATAGCGTAGCCTTGGTCAAGGTGCTAGTTGTTATTCATCCTGCCGTAGCGCGGTAAACGATATCTTCGCTAGCGCTGTGCATGCAGTCATAATGTGTATCGCATGCAGAGCGAAATGCAGCGCGAACAGCGACCTAGCTCACGCGGCCTCTATTTTTATGCAAATCAGTTGGACCCAATCTAGCTGGATTGGGTCCAACTGATTTGCATAGAAATGGTGGCCGCGTGAAGTCGCTGTTCGCACTGTATTTTTAATGCACCTCATGCATAGCGCTAGCGAGGATATCGTTTACCGCGCTACGGCCGGGATGAATAACAACTAGCGACTTGACCAAGGCTAGCGATAGCGCGGCGGGCGGGGTACGGTGTGTGCGCGTGCGCGTGGAGATTATAATATTGATCAAGTCAGCAACTGAAGTTCAAGTATGATGTATTCACGCGTAGGCCGCCTACGTGTAATATGAAATATAGCAACTGCGTGTAGACATGTGTAGATTATGTAGCTTAAACAGGGTGGTGCAAAAAGAAGCCAACCAACTTGACAGGACTTTTCACTATTATTTGAACTGGTTTTATTATAGTGAAGTATAGCTCTTCGACCGTGTGTGGTGAACAAAAATCTTTATAAAATTCGCAAGAAAGGTGTTATTGTACTAATTTGAATACAAGCCACCAAAATCACTGTTGTCCACGTGTAAGTCTAAGTGCAGTGTATTGTTGTCTTCAAATCACGCTTCGGAGCTCAATCAAGCGGATATAGCCGTACGTGGAAAAACAGGTCTGGTACATGACATTTTCAAACTACCAGATCTCAGAGACCAAATATGCATTTTCAACCATTTATTTTTTCGTGACTTGCGTTTAAAGATCCATATGTAATACCATTTGAATTTCTAAAATATATTCAACAAGTACGGAGGTGAAAATTGCTGTCTGCAGTTCATGGAGGAGATTTATGCACTTATGCAGCACTGATGACATGAACTCAGCTTTTCCGTGTTGTAGTATATATTATATTACACAATACCGTGTTGTACTATATATTATATTACACAATACGCAATGGACATTTAGCCAGTATTTTTCACAACTCGATCGAACTAGACTGCACCTTGGGAAAAAAAATCAATCAGCCCGGCTTCAAATCGAAGTGGGACCACTTATTCAAAAAAAAGGCGTCGATTATTTACAGCGCTCCTGCAGTTCAAAACATTTCCCACTTCTCAAAACATAGCCTCCATCAGCTAATATGCCTACCGTCCTGCATCTTTTTGGAAGCGCCATATGCTAGCAGGCGTTTGCACGAGGAAATAACACAATAAAAACGAAATTTGTTTTGTTTTCACATTCACAGTCATACGTAATTTAGCCTTTAGCCAAACTTTTAATTTTCAGAACTATTCTTCTCTTCTTGCAGCCCACATCGCCCACAATGGCCGTTTCTATTGTTTTAACCATACCGCGCTGATTTTGCATATTTCCAAGCTATTCGTTTTGCATTTATGTGAGCATGCGGGCGCGCGTGCCTTTTATCAAATCGTGTATGGTTTACATTTATGTACTTATTACTTTATTTATTTCATTTTTTGATATATTGGGGAGCGGGGGTGACTCTGCCGTGCCGTCAGCAAAACAGGGTTTTTCCCGAATGTGGAATTTACAGTCTCAAATCTATTTGAGAAATCTGGGGCAATCCAATTTGAACTTTGGAGTTCATTTGTAAAGTGATAAAAAGGTTCATATCCTTCTTTGACTAAATGAAGTGTTGAGTACCCATTTTTTTTATCATAAGGTCTACTCCGCACCGGAATTATAAGAGCAAATGGTCCCAGATAAAAGCTTTTGTTAAACTGATATCACATGAATTTATGTCATTTCTCGTTTGTTTGAAGCTGGAGCAGTAGAGCTGAACATCTTGGAAGGAACACAAAGGAAGGCTGCTGTTGGATCAAACGTTACGTTCACATGGCTAGTTACAACGCGAGTGAAAAGCCCTTAGTCAAGTGGCTTTTCAACGGCACAAAGGCACGATGTAAAGTTCACAATTTTACAGAACTTTCCATCAACAATCGTACCTACAAGGCTTGCATTTTGACCATCAATCCCGTTGTGGAGTCATCAGGAGGTCTTTATAAGTGTGAAGTGTATACAATAGACGAACATGAAGGAAAGACGATGACAGTGAAATTAAACGTTATTGGTGAGTCCACTAGTACTGACTGGTTTCTTGTGGTGAATTGTTTATTGAACTAAAGCTACATTAATTTTCACCATGTTTCAAGAGTCCCTTGACTTAAGTTCTTAAATTATAAAGTTGAACAATCTATACACTTGCGCCCTTTCGGAAAATGGACCGATCCAGTAAGCCCCTCCCACTGCGCACGTGGGCAAATTAACACGTGCTCCTCTCCAATGCCACACTGCATTTTCCTGCCGCGCGCATCATACGCCCGTGCACGCATGTCGGACTTTTGTGCACGCATGTCGGACATAAATCACGGCTGTGATTGGTCAGAATACCATGGGGCGGTGCTTACTGGATCGGTCCATTGTCAGCATATAAAAGGGCTGGAGTACCGGAATGTAGTTTCTGGAAGTTGCACGGTTACCTCCAAATGATCCAACTTTAATAGCTTTATGGGCTTTGTCGGTTTCCATTTGTATTTCATTTGACAAAATAAGACGTGATATATTTTCATGGAGAACACCGAAAACAAATCATCCCTCATAGTCAGGTGGCATATGGTCGGAATCGTGACCGACTGGTCCAAAGCACCAAACTTAGCAGATAGATTCTTATAGACCTAGAGAAGATATTTAGAAGGGGTGACACCTGAAATTCTTTTGGGAAGGGTGCCTAATTTGCATAAATCGTTAATCCCTGCAGTGTAATATATGTTTTCTCATATTTGGGTATATTTTTATTTTTTTATTTTTTTGAAAAGTGTATTTTGGTGATTCTACTTGCATATTCTTACTTCAATAGCATTTTGTAAAGCATGTAAGTGACTGAATAATTATGAGGACATAGTAACGATCCAAAATGGCTACTATTTTACCCTAAAGTTACGCGCATTTACCTTTGCCTCAGATATCATCAACTAGTCTCGCCAAACGTGGGTATTGATGAGCTTCAAATTCACAAAGGTACTTACTGACATAGTTAACCTAACAAAAATAAGTGGGAAATCATGTGAAAATTGATATCATCTTGATGTTTGGCCCAAAGACCAACTAAAAGGGGAGAAAATATGGTGTCCGTAAATTGGGCTACTACGGGAAGGGTAACGTGGGGACTTGACAAGTTCAACAAAATCCCCCCAAATAAGAGATTATTGTTGTTTACAATAATGTTGTCTACGCCAAAATGTTTTCTCAACAATAATTTTGGGAATTTCCTTGAACTTGTTCCAGTCTTCTATGTTAGGCAACCCTTCACCTTACGTGTTAGCCAAATTTATGGACACCTCGTTTTTTCCCCACTTTTTGTTTTCTGGGCTAAATATCACAATGTTCTCATTGTTCACATGATTTTGCATAAGGTTTCAATAGGGTAACTGTACCAGTAAGCTACGTGGTGAATTTGAAGTTCATCAATGCTGATGTTTGGCAAGACTAATTGATGATATCTGGGGACAAGGTAAATGCGCGCAATTTAGGGCATAATAGTAGCCATTTTGGATCGTTACTATGTCCTCATAATTATTTAGTCACTTATATGCTTTGGAAAATGTTATTTAAGTAAAGATATGTAAGTAGAATCCCCAAAATACACTTTTCAAAAAAATAAAAAAATAAAAATATACCCAAATATGGGAATAAATATATTACACGGCAGGGATTAACGATTTATGCAAATTAGGCACCCTTCCCAAAAGAATTTCGGGTGTCACCCCTTCTAAATATCTTCTCTAGGTCTATAAGAATCTATCTGCCAAGTTTGGTGCTTTGGACCAGTCGGTCACGATCTTGACGAAAATTAGATCTAAGCCACCTGACTATCAAGAACATCATGTAAAAGGTTGAATTTTTCGTGCTAGAATTTGACCCTGAAAAATTCCGGGTTCTTTTAATTTTTTTGTTAAAACATAACATTGAACGTGAAAAAAACCAATATAATCTGTCATGGATTTTTCAATCCCCTATACTCTATTTGTTAACTGATAGAGTTTGTATGATTTTGTTTTGTTTTCATTTGATCTCCCTTCGACGATCCCTCCCCGATTGGACAACTCTTCGCTTGAACGACGAGATGCCACACTGCATCTGCTGGATCCCTCCACCGGAGCTGTGCTGGACGATCCCGAGTATGGCCCCGTCTGCGTCCAGTCCGGCATCACGCGGCGATTCGAGTGCAGGATTCAAGACGCCAGACCTGGGGCCTGAGCTTCACGTGAATGCTTGGTAATCAGACGATCGCTACTAAAAGCGAGGCACGGACCGGAGCTGGGCTGGTCAACGTGAGCAGTTGGCACATCGTGACAAACCCTGGCAACGAAACTCGAGAAAGTAACCTAACGTGCCTTGCAACGAGCAGTGATCAGTCACTGAATACCACAGCGCTGATAACATTTTGTGCAGGTAAGCAATCTATGTTTTGCTGATCCCAGAGGGCCAGCCAAGTGTCGTATTTGCCCCTATATTCTCACTGACTGACTGACTCACTGACTGACTGACTGACTGATGTGACTGCCACTTTTGGGCAGTGCCATCAAGAAGCAGTGCTTCTATGGAATAACAGTTGGATCAACTGAGTAATAACTTTCTGCGCTCTGGGACCTTGTGAAGGTTTTAGCCCCTATAAAACAAGGAACATACCTTCCTTAATTCAATTCCATATTGTTGCAAGATTTAATAATAATATTATGAACATTTCCGAATTTCAAACGACAGTTGCTTAGGTGAGATTCATTGTATACGATCAAGGCAAAGTTCATAAGAGCTTAAACACCACGAAGTTCAGTTGTGATTTATATTATCTCTATGTTCAATCCAATGCAATAAAGTTTAATGTA